CTGTGTAGCTTTGGAGCCTGTCCTGGAACTCGCTCTGTAGACCAGGCTGCCATCGAACTCACAGAGATCCACCTGCTTCTGCCTCCTGAGTGCTAGCATTAAAGGCAACGCCCGGCTTCCCGTAGTCTTAAGAACTGGTGACACCATGGCTCTTGGCCTTGCAGTTACTCAGGCTTCATTTGCATGGCCCATGAGTTTATCCTAGGGCAGGTTCAAATCCAGTACCCAGGCATCTGTCTCTGTGGGAAGTGTCTATCTTGTGGCTCAGAGGGGTTACGCGTACTGTGTGGCTATGTGTCTTATTGCCTGTGTTCTCCTTGAATGTTGCCTCAGGTTTTTGGAAGAGCGGAAAGAGATTATGGAGAAGTTTGCCAAGGAACAAGATGCTTTCCTTCGGGACACCCAGGAGAAGCATGCCCATGAGCTTCAGCTCCTGCAGCAGGGACACCAGCAGCAGCTTCAGGCCCTGAAGATAGAGCTTGAGACCAAGCACCACTCTGAGCTTGCTGAGCAGCTTGCCTCCCTGGAGAGCAAGCAGCAGGCACTTGTTGAGACTCATGTGGCTGAATTGCAGGTAAAACACAATGCTGAAATCAGCACTTTGCAGATGAAACATTTGACAGATTTGCATGCGGCGAAATCCTTTTACTTGACCGACATCGAGACTATTCGGGATGAGCACAGAAAGGCTTTGGAGCTTTTGCAAGCAGAGCTCGAGGACCAGCTTCAGAAAAAGGACTCTTCTCATAAAGAGATTTTGACACATGAGTTGGAAAAACTGAAACACGAGGAGCTTCAGTCTGCAAAAGATAGCTTGAGAATCAAAATACATGCCAAACACACAGAGGAAGCGAAAGGCCTGGCTACTGACATGCAAGGGACACAACAGGTGAGATGCTGGGGCCCCTTCCTTGGCTCAGGGAAGGTATCTCTTTGACTCACGTATTGGCCACATGTCATGTGTGTCTGGGCATTTGTGGACATGTATCTCCATGTCTTGTTTAACACGACTTTTTTGGGGGGAGTGGTTTTGAGACAGGGTTTCTCTGTGTAGCTATGGAGCCTATCCTGGTAGTCACTCTGGAGACTCGAAGAGATCTGCCTGCCTCTGCCTCCCGAGTGCTAGGATTAAAGGCGTGCGCCACCACCGCCCGGCTTGTTTAACGAGTCTTAATGTGTCTATGAATCATGTACCTGAGTCTGCCTCCTTGTGTGTATGATACATGCATGTCTGTGTATGTTCATCTGTGCCTCACAGCTGGTTGATAGCAGTGATGATTTGTGGTCTCACTGTAGATGACAGTCACTTAGGGTTGTTGGGGGCTCAATTTACGTTTACATTAATTGGTGTCCAGAGGTTCCAGGAGCTCCCAGGAGCCGACCTTAGTCCCTCATGTGAGTCTTAGTTTGGAGTCCACAATAGAAGGATTTGATTTCTTTGATGTACCTGCAAAGCCTTGGTTCCCTTTTTTTTTTTTTTTTTTTTTTTTTTTAATTGATACTTCCTGAACTTCAGTGGTTTTGGTTTGATTTGGTTTTTGGTATGAAGAGCAAGGATGCGATGGTTCTTTTGGCTGGCACTTGAAGTTTTTTATATGAAGAGGGGATTTCTGGCAAGTTCACAGTTGGCTCATGACTGTCCACAGGACACAAGAGTCAGTGACGGTGAATAAGCCACACCAGCCGCCTTCCAGCCCTTTCAGTGTGCTTTCTGTTTCCTTTGCCCTTCCTCGGTGGAGGATGCTGTCCATCTTCCTGAAATGGACTAGGCTGTTCTGTGGTATTACATGGAGCAGCTGGGAATACCTACTGTAGGCGGTACATCCGTCCCAGTGTCTACACGGACCTAGAGACTGGGGCCATTCCGTTACTTCTGGACTGATTTGGAGAACTGTTTAAGACTACTGGGAGGTCTCCAACTAGTCCTGTGCTCTGTAACTTTGGTTTCAGCAGACTTCTGTTCTCCCTTGCCACAAACCAGTATAAGTTTGTGGACTGGACCCTGTTTCCAGTCCACGGGTCTGAACCTGTGGGTTATCTTGATTCATTTGGTTTAAAGAAAATTTGAATTCGGGGCTGAAGAGATGGTTCAACACTTGCTGCTCTTCCAGAGGATTTGAGTTTAGTTCCCAGCACAGATGTCAGGCAGCTCAGAGCTGCCTGTAACTCCAGCTACAGTGGATTCAACACCTCTGGCCTCTTTTGATGCATGCTCTCATATACACATACCCACGTGCAGACACACCCACCAAACATAATTAAAATGATAGCAATACATCTTAAAATTAAAACATAAGATACCGTTTTAAAAGCAGAAACATACAGATCTCACACAAGTACTTATTCTAACCCATGGCTGAACTTTACCGGTGGCAGAATTTAATTATAGGAAGTATTTGGGATGTTGACCCCTTCCTGCACATATACTCCTTAGGATGGGAAGACCTGGGGTATGCCATGGCTTGACACCTGTGGAAACTCTCTCAGCAGGAGGAACTGGCTATGGCTGTGCACAATCAAAGGCACCTGCTGGGGAAAGATGGAAATGCAGCCTTGGGTAGCGTGGGTGCTGAGGTCCTGCTGCACCCAGCTGTGCCTCAGGAGCTGGGAGACCCACACGCCGTTGAAATGCAGAAGCCACAAGCAGAGTTGGCCAAATCTCAAGAGCTGCCAGCATCTCAGGAACAGGCTGCACTGGTAAGGATTCCCGTGTACAGTCCCAAAGGGTAACAGCTTGGGTGATGCTGCACTCAGTAGGGCCAGGAGTTGATGACCACCGTGGAGCCACACTCACTGGTCATGAGTACGAGGGTCCCTGCTTGAGCTCAGCTCGGTTCAGTGGGGAGTAATGTTCAGTTTTGATTTTGATTTGTGTGTATTTGTATATGCATGTGTTTGTTTCTTTGCATTCATGAGGATGCACTTGAAGAATGTGTGTGTGTTCACGTGTGGAGGCCAGAGGTTGACTGTCAAATGTCTTTCTTGATCACCCCCTCTTATTTATTGAAGTTGAGTCTCTTGCTTGAATCCAGAACTCACTGTTTCAGCTAGTCTAGCTGACCATATTGCTCTGAGGATCCTGCCTTTGCCTTCTGCATACTGGGATTATAGGCAAGCCCACGTGCTTTTATGTGGTACAGGGGATTTGAACTCTTGTCCTCACAGTTAGGGCCAGTACTTTACCTGCTGAGCCATCTCCTCTGTCTTAAATTCGGTATTTAAATACCTGCTCACAAAGACAGGACCCAAGTAGGCATGGATTGAACTGTTGCTTCCGTGTGGAAGGAGTAGAGGATGCGATGGAACAAGCTGCTCTGCATGGTTGTGACTGTACAGCCGAGCACTCTTGGGAGGAAATCTGTGCACACAGTGTGGCTTCTTCTTCAGCATGTAGTTTATGTGTCTTGTCATATCACATGGCAATTTTGAGATGAAGTATAACAAAGCAGTAGGAACCCTTCTTAGACTTGGGAAGCTGACAGGAGGGGCCTGGTTGAGGTCCCTGTGACCTGTGTGGGCTCTTTCTGCATTCCTGTGAAAAAAACATTCATCACCACGTTCTCCCAGGATGAGAAATGCTAAGAGGTCCTGACCCGGTCAACTCCAATCCTACCTGCTGGGCCTGTACACACAGGTCCATGTATAAACACACATGTGCACACAGTGCATCCATGTTTATGTATATGTATACAAAGAACAAAGTGTCTGTACATATTCTTTATTATGCACCTGTAGGCTCAGGTGGCTCAGTCCCAGAGCCACTCCCCTGAGGCTCACCTGCTTGGGTGTTCTTAGATTTGAAAGGCTATTGTTTCAGGATCTTCTGGGCTTGGAAAGAGGAAAGTCTACATTGCCTCAAAAGTGATTGGGTGTTTCTGTGGAATGTGCCAGTTTTATTGAGATGGTTTCTTTTTATAAAGACTATCCTTTGAGATGCTTTTTTTTTTTTTTTTTTTTTTTTTTTTTTTTTTTTTGAGATAGGTCGATGGTTAAGGGCTTCTGGCTGCTCTTTCAGAGGATCTGAGTTCGATTCCTAGCATGCATGTGGCAATTCACAGTGGTCTGTAACTCCAGTCCCAGAGGGATCCAACACTCTTTGTTGGCTTCCATAGATACCAGGCACACAAGCGATGCACACAGACCTATATGCAGGCAAACTCCTATTACATAGAAAATAAGATTTATTGAAAAATAAAAACCTTAAGACTGCTGAGAGTGGGGAAAACGGACTTTCCCATAGAAGACACACCAGTTGGTTTGTTTTCTGGTTTTCCAATCTTTCCTTGGGTGGTGATGCTGATGAGTGCTGTAGAACTGTCAAGTGTTTGGGGCATCTGTGGCAGTTCTGTCGAATACTTGGCAGTATCTGCAGTGATACTGTTAGGTGCTTGAGGTATCTGAACATTTCTAGGTATGGTGTAGCTTGGCTCCTGCCTCCTTGCCTGGGGATGTGCATAAGTGATGCCTTTTCAAATAAAAGAGCGGTTGGCTATGATGAGGTAGGGGTGCTACTTCACTATTTTATGTTAACTTAAAAATTATTATGTTTTGCCAGGTGGTGGTGGCGCAGGCCTTTGACCCTTGCACTCGGAAGGCAGAGACAGGGCCCATCTCTGAGTTCAAGGTCAGCCTGGTCTACAGATCTGGTTCCAGGATGGCCGGGGCTGGTTAAAAACATGACTACATTTTAATTGATTTGTGTATGTGTGTGTACAGTAGTTTGGGTGTGCTAGTCAGAGCACAAAGTCTAGAAGCCTATGCGCTGTGTGTGCTTCCACCCTCTGGGTTTCAAGGATTGACTCAGTTGTCAGGCTTCATGATAAGCACCTTGGCCCACCGAGACGATTTGTGAACCCTGCCCATGTTAACTTTCTTGTTATTGGTGATGGTTTTTTTGTTTGTGTTTTTTTTGTGGAGGGGCATACACAATATTGAACAATTCAATAACAGTTCAATAGCTGTGTGCTGGCGTTGCTGTATCAGCGTCCTCAGTGTAGCTTCTCCATGTCGTACTGGCTGGATAAGGCAACATGAATTCCTCCATCTCATCCCATTTCCTAGCTTAAGCTTCTGCCTCTATCTGGCTCTGGTTATGTAAGTTGGAGTCTACATGGGGCCTTGTGAGCATGAACTGAGTCTTGGGTTTTCATTCCCTTGAGGGTGATTGGCCTTTGACCCTTTGCCCCGCCTCCATGTGGGCAGGTCCATAAGCATAACCAGTCTTGTGGCCTAGTCAGACTTGCCTTAGCTGTGAGACATTTCCTCCGGTGTCTTCTCCGGCTCTGACAGACACTTCAGAGAGCCTCTCAGAGTGCTCTCCAGGATGCCCAGGGCCAGTGTCCCAAAATAGCAGGGACATGCTGTTCTTGCTGTCCTCCATGCTCTATTGAGCCACAAATATCTTGCACCTGTCTGGAGAGCAAAGTCTCTTCTCAGCGTGCTCATTGAATAGAATTCTTGTTAGTCAGGTGGTTGCTTCCCAGATCATCGCCCTTGGGAGTTTGCCTCTGAAAAATATTCTCTGAAAATGTAAGCTTGATTTCTTTCTTTCTTTCCTTCCTTTCTTTTTTTGTTTTTTGAGACAGGGCTTCTGTATAGCACTGGCTGTCTTTTTTTTTTTTTTTTTTTTTTGGTTTTTCGAGATAGGTTTTCTCTGTATTGTTTTGGAGAACTCACTCTGTAGATCAGGCTGGCCTCGAACTCACAGAGATCCACCTGCCTCCGCCTCCTGAGTGCTGGAATTAAAGGCGTGCGCCACCAATGGCCAGCTAGATTTCTTTCTTTCTTTCTTTCTTTTTTAAAGATTTATTTATTATGTATACAGTGTTCTGCTTGCGTGTTTCATATGCCAGAAGAGGGCACGACTTCTCATTACGGATGGTCATGAGCCATCATGTGGTTGCTGGGAATTGAACTCAGGACCTCTAGAACGGCAGCCAGTGTTCTTAACCCCTGAGCCATCTCTCCAGCTCCATAGATTTCTTTTTGATAGAACTCTGCATCTCATGAAGGAGTCTCCCTGGCTGTTGCCACTAAGCAAGTACTGTGGTCTAGAAGTAGCTGCAGAGTGCCCAGTGGTGACTGTATAGGATTTTCTTGTTTTCTTGTATAAAAACCAAACTGTTGATAGGCTTTTCTTTGTAAGGGGTAAGAGAACTGTAGTTGATTTTATGTAGTTTGAATGTCTGTACTTCCTATCAGCAGTGTTTATCTTCATCCTAAGTGGTGGTCTTTGTGCACTGCCTCTCCCTTTAGTTCTTTCCAAGACCTGTTTATTCTAGTTGCTAATACGAAGTTCTTTTCTGTATTTTTGTAGGTGTTTAGAGAAACATAACTTTTTAAAACGTTTATTGAAAGTTTCATTTGTGTGAGTGTTTGTGGGTGTGCACACGCACACGCGCCCCCCACACATGTATGGTGCCTGTGAAAGCCAGAAGGGGGCATTGGATCCTCAGGATCTGGAGTTATGAGTGGTTGTTAGCTGATGGATGGGTGCTAGAAACGTCTTGTGGAAGTACAGCAAGTGCTAAGTCATCCCTCCTGCCCCTAAAACATCAATTTTTTTTTTGGGGGGGGTTCCGAGACAGGGTTTCTCTGTGGCTTTAGAGCCTATCCTGGCACTCGCTCTGGAGACCAGGCTGGCCTCGAACTCACAGAGATCCGCCTGCCTCTGCCTCCCGAGTGCTGTAAAACATCATTTTTTATATTGACTGTACCAGCAAATACAGTTTTGTTTTTCATGGTTGGAAGTAAAAATGGTTGTAAAGAAAGCCAAGGCAGCTAGAGGTGCGGAGAAGCTGCAAGGGTGGAGCCTTTGATGAGTCACCTGCTTGGACTAACTTTGTAACTGGGGTGAAGCCCTGTGAGAGCCCATCCACAGATGTGAGGCTGTCTCACCTGCTCAGACTAACTTTGTAACTGGGGTGAAGCCCTGTGAGAGCCCATCCACAGATGTGAGGCTGTCTCACCTGCTCAGACTAACTTTGTAACTGGGGTGAAGCCCTGTGAGAGCCCATCCACAGATGTGAGGCTGTCTCACCTGTTCCTGAACTTGTGCCATCTTCCCAGTTTGCCCCGCTGCAGGGTTCCCTAGGATAGACAGTGTGTTCTGCAGGGTGGCTCTGCTGCCTGGTGGGAGGCTGGGCTGTCTGCCTTGTTGTAGCTTCCCTCAGAATACATGTATCCTGTGTACAAGAAGGTATTACGTGTGTCTCTAGACTGCCTTGAGTCCTTCTGAGACAGAGGGAAAGCGAAAACTGCAGTGAACCATCATCTAGCCAAGTAGTTCCTGCAGCTCAGCTTCAAGACCAGAGGCCCAGTGTCAGCTTGTGTAGATCTGGGTTCAGTGGGGCCCCATGCTCCACTGTTGGCCTTTCCTAATGGGATCCTATGTGAGCCGATTTAATTTCTTTGTTCATGGTCAGTGACAAGACAAAGAACCACCAGCCGAATACAGGGGGCACAGTCTGTTGGCTCTTGTGTTTTATTGCAGAAGAGATCTAAAAATAACTTGAAAAGCATCATTTTTCTCTTTGAAGATTTATTTTTGTTTACATATATATGTAAATACAACCTGCTCAGTCTATATAACTTTACAGACAGACAGACACACACACACACACACACACACACACACACACACACACGCGTGCACGAATGCACACAGGCCCCTTTATCTGCTAAGCTATCTCTCCATTTTTTAATTGACTGGCTTTATAATCTGTAAAAGTATACATGCCTTTTCATACAATTGATCTTTCAAAATTGAGTGCATTACATCTCTCTTCTGATAGCCAGGCTTGAACTTGCTCGTACCATGACAGGGTCAGTGAGCTGGTGTGTGTTTGCCAGGTAGTGTGTTGTGTGTGACAGCATGTTCTCATTGCTGAATCTCTTGCTCTATGCTAGTACACCAGGACCAAAGAGAGTTCGGTGATTTTCAAACTTCTATGGCTACTAAATGCTAGAGCCACCATTCAGCTGGAGTGTTTGATGGGATCATGGCAGTGGTCCGTCCATAGTAACAGGTCAAATGGACATAGTCCAAACTACAGAGACCTTACCTGTGCTGGGAGGTAGACTAACATGACGGTGACTGCGCAGGAAGGTGGGTGGCCAACAGGGCAATCAAAGCCTAGGGTGAGGCTTTGGGAACAGTCATATCCAAACCGGTGGGGCTATATGAGGGAGCCACAGCCTCTCAAAGTATTCTGCAAAGGCATAGTTTACATACTGCTGAAAAAAAATCTCATTTTGTCAAAAATAATGAAATAGCAAAGCCCACATAGGTTAGAGATATGGCACTTAAGATCTATGCATACACACACAACACACAAACACACAAAATCAGTAAAAAAAAAAAAAAAAAAAAAAAAGCTGCTTTGTGTATAAAAGGCTGAGGCAGGAGGTTCCCTCAGGCTTGGCAGCAAGTGCCTTTACCCACTGAGCCATTTTGCTGGCTTAACCTCCTCTATTCTACATTGAGGATCAGCATGTATGTGAACTGTCGTTGAGTCATTTTTCACTACTGTGCTTCATTTTGTGACGGTACCAAAGTAAGGCCCTTGGCTTTGTCCATTTTCCTACTCTAATCAGTTAGGTCACTATGAGTTTTCTTTTGTGTCTGCTGTCACAAGGGTGTGAAACTTCTCAAGATGCAGCCGTGCTCAGTTTGAGAACCCTGCACATAGCCAGCATGATTAGGAAGTGGTAGACTCCCTCTACTGGAAGTGCCTCTGCTTGGCCCACTCTTAACACCCAACTTGTCTGTTCAACCCTACCTGTCCTGCTGGTTTTGAGGCTATGAAATGATGTCATGTTCCTTAATTTGCATCTCCTCATTTGCTAATAAGTTGAGCATCTCTTCATTATGTCTGTAGTCAGTTTATGTTTTTCAAATGTAAAATACCTGTTTGTATCTTTTGGTATTTTTTAATTTTTTTTAATTTTTACATAATTTTGTGGACCTTTGTTTTGTTTTGTTTTGTTTTTTGAGATGGGTTCTCTGTGATAGCCCTGGCTGGCCGCCCTGGTACTGGCTCTGTAGACCTGGCTGGCCTTGAACTCAACAGAGATCCCCTTGCTTCTGCCTCCCAAGTGCTGGGATTAAAGGCGTGCACACTACTGCCAGGTACTTTTTCGGATTATTTCAGATTTCTGATTGTTTTGTTTTGAACTAGGATCTGGTTTGGTTGTCCAGTTTGGCTTTGAATTCATAATCCTCTAATTATGTTCCTCTGTCTCCGAGTGTTGAGATTACAAGCGTGTGATACCATGCTGGACTTTCTGGGGGGAGTGGGGAGCAGTGCTGTGGCTTTTGCATGCTAAGTGAGCCATACGTATGCCATCTTGTTATATGGTGATTGCTGAACCATCTTACTGCTCTTTTCTCCCTTCAAGCTTAGACTTTTGATGCTTGCTTGGCAGAACTTCTCCTATTTTACATAGACATTCTCCCTTCTTGAAGGGAGGGCATGAGGTTTGGGGAGCTGCTTCCCAGGCAGCCAGGATCTGGCTTCTCATGAGTGGCAGCTGCTGACCTCTCCCATCTCCCTCCCCTTGGGAGCCTCTGGAGTCTTGGAGCTCCACCCCTAATCATGGTGCTCCACCCCTCAATCTCATTTGTGCTAGGGCTCTCCCAGAATGCCCTGATAGTTGTGATTGAGTTGACTTTGACACATTGGTTTCTTTGTGAGATGGAGGCCCCAAGACTTTTTCCCACATGACCTTTTCATTGGCATAAGTGCTGGGATGGCAGTTACTGTTAGTTTAAAATCATTTTTACTTCAGATTAAGGTACAAAAATGCTTGGGACCAGTAACATTTTAATTTTTTTTCAGTGTTTTTGAGTATTTATACAGTATCTTCAGGATGGGATTCAAGTCTAAACACAAAGTTCATTTATATTTCTCATAGCTTGAAGGTATTTTTTTGTTTTTTCAAGACAGGGTTTCTCTGTGTAGCTTTAGAGTCTATCCTGGCATTTGCTCTGTAGACCAGGCTGGCTTTGAACTCACAGAGATCTGCCTGCCTCTGCCTCCTGAGTGCTGGGATGAAAGGGCATGCTCCATCAATGCCTGGCGCTTGAGGGTAATTTTATGTAATATTTTTAGTGCACTTACATTTTGACTGCAACCCATTTTCAAGGTCAGGTGTAGAGTTTTTCACTTTTGGGTTTTGAATTTCACGTTAGGTGTGCCCTACCTGGATGATAAGTGTTAATTCATAATCCCTGTCAGTAGATATCAACAAACTACTATTTCCGACCACAGAAATCACTCAATGATGAGTCAGAGCATGGTTCTTTCATGTGGTTAGATTTAATTAACTTAGTAATATTATCATTAAATCAGAAGGACCGCAGTGAGTCCTTCAGATGGTTTCCTCTGCTTGCCAGGGCCCGTTCATTCCTTTAATCCTTCTAAGTCTTTTAGCTCTTGGTTTCAGTTTGTTTTTTTTGGGGGGGGGGGGGGGATGGCACAGGATCATGTCACATGGTCCAGACTAGTCTAGAACTCCTACAGCCTCCTCAGTGCTTGGCCTTTCTTTTTACAATCCAGTTTTACCAAGATATTTGCTTGTACTTCCTTTCTTGGCTAATGTTGCTAGAGGGTCCATAGCCCCCACGACCCAAATGTGAGTGGACACAATGAGATTAATGGGTAGACAAAGCTCTGTGAATAAATATGTCATGGGTATAGCCACCTCCAGGGCCACTTACAGGGTCAGACACGGATGTGCCGGGAGTCTCTTGCACACCAGCTGTTGGAGAGCTACCTACCCATTCTGCCTTAAACTGTCCAGGACATAGTTTCACACGCTGGTAACATTTGGTATGTGCTGTTCCTTTTCTGTCTCTTGATCCTTGTTTTCTATCTTGAAACTTCACTTCCCTCATTTTCTTTATTTCAGCTACCTATGTATTGGCCTGACGCAGCCAGTAGTTTTATGGAGTCTGTTTACTTTTGTGGTCTGTCACTGACACCGCTTATAGCTAGCTTCTGTGTAGTCAGCTACTTACTTCAGTCTGCTCTCTTTCCTTTCTTGCTGTCCCTTTTTTCCTTTCCTTTTAAATGTGTGTGTGTGTGTGTGTGTGTGTGTGTGTGTGTGTGTGTGTGTGTGTGTGCGCGCGCGCGCGCGCGCGCGTGTATGTGTGCACTCACGATCGCAGAGACACTAGAAGTGTTAAATACCCTCTTTTATTACTGTCTACCTATTCTTTTGAGGCAGTATATGTAGCTGGAATTTTCTTTCCAGCCTGGTCCCACAGACGATTAGCCCCAAATAAACACATAAAAACTTACATTAAGGGGCTGGAGAGATGCCTCAGAGGTTAAGAGCACTGGCTGCTCTTCCAGAGTTTCTAAGTTCAATTCCTAGCAACCACATGGTGGCTCACAACCATTTTTAATGAGATCTGGTGCCCTCTTCTGGCCTGCAGGGATACATGGAGTCAGAACACTGTATACATGATAAATAAATAAATCTTTGTGTGTGTGTGTGTGTGTGTGTGTGTGTGTGTGTGTGTGTTTTGGAGACAGGGTTTCTCTGTGTAGCTTTGGAGCCTATCTTGGCACTCGCTCTGGAGACCAGGCTGGCCTCGAACTCACAGAGATCCACCTGCCTCTGCCTCCCGAGTGCTGGGATTAAAGGCGTGCGCCACCAACACCCGGCTAAATAAATCTTGGGGAAAAAAAAGCTTATATTAACTTATAAACTGTTGGTTGATGGCTTAGGCTTCTTATTGACTACCTCTATCTTAATTATTAACCCATTTCTATTATCTATGTATTGCCACAAGGCTATGGCTTACCCGTAATTTGGCATGTTACTCCCTCAGCAGCATGGTGTCTCTGCTCGAGGCTTCTCCCCGCCTTCTTCTTGCCTGGTAGACCCTTCTATACTTCTTGCCTGGCTATTGGCCAATCAGTGTTTTATTCATCCACCAATAAGAGAAACATATACAGAAGGCCATCTCCCATCGAGTATATTTACTTGGACCTGGGGCTCATGTATTCTTAGCTGTACTGTAAGCCACCAAGTCCCTATGATCCTCCTGTCTCTGACCCTCTTGGAGCTGGGTTTATGATAGGTCGTTCTATGGGTGCTGGGATCTGAACTCCAGTCCTCTTGATGGCCCAGATACTCTTATACTGTTGAGCCGTCTCTTTAGCATAGCCTGTTTAATTTCTGTACTTGGTATGATGTTGCTTCTCATTGACTGTCGGCCTAGCTGTGACCTCCTGTAGCACTCTGGTGCCTTGGGCAGGTATGCTCCCAGCGCCGTGCTGTGCAGTGTGCAGCTTCTCTGCTTGGGGCCACTTGTCTTTGTCTCTTTGTCTCTTGTCTTGACCTGGAGTACGTTAGCTGACCTCTGCTCTGACACAGATGTTGATATGGTGTGGAGAGATGCTTGTTTGACCAGAGGGCAATATCAGCTATGTTCTATGTGATGTCTCCACAGGCATGGATGGCAATTGTGGTCTCCTTTGTACTTTTCTCTTTCATTTGAGGGTGCCCATGTTCATGTCCCAGACCTATAGACTCTTAGAAAGTCAAAGCTGTCACTCACATCTGGCCCAGGCCAAAGGATTAAGGGTGCTCTGGGTGGTACTTTTTCCATGTAAACTAAACTACATCAGATTACTGGGATCTGGCTACTGCTTAGGACAGCATGGAAAGCCCCTGTAGCCAGCAACAGGAAAGCTGGTCCACCTGCCCGAACTGCTAAGGTGCCGAGCCTCTGTTTTGTTTGTTTGCTTTTGTTTTGTGTTTTGAAACAGCATCTGTTTACATAGCCCTGGCTCTCCTAGAACTTATTATGTAGACCTCAGACTCAGAGATCCTCCTGCCCCGACTCCTGAGTGCTGGGATCAAAGGTGTGTGCCATGACACCTAGTTCGCCTCTGGTTTTTTGAAGAGAAACATGTAGGAAGGATTTTCATCAGCATGGTGACTAATTTCACTGTTAATGACTAAGCACAAGGGTCTTATTTTGAATTATTATCTGTGAGGTGGATTCTATGAATCTGCCCACTCATTTCTCTAGTATCAGGAACAAGTAGGAATTCTTTATAGATACTCTGATATTAATAAATGATGAAGGAAAAACCAGTACCTCCACCTTTAATCACCCCATTTTCATCATTTGTCGTTTTTTTGTTAGGTGTAATATAAAACTGTGGTGGCAGTTTCTGCAGTTACCTGCCATAACTAATAAAACTGTGATGACAGTTTCTTCAGTTACCTGCTGTAGCTAAGTGGTTTTAACTGAGCTTGAGTACTTTTTCTCAACAGCTGAAAGGCCAGGTCTTCTCGCTGAGTCGGGAGGTGGAAGAGTGCCGAGCTGAGCTGGAGAGGCTGCAGCAGAGGAGAGAGCGGGAGAACCAGGAGGACACCACTCTCATCTGCATGCTCAGGGCTGATGCAGACCTGGCTCAGAGCAAAGGGTCAGTGCTTCCCTGTCACTGGGCCGCTCAGCTAGCCACAGCGCCACTGCCATCTCCCAGCCCGCTGCGCTGGCTGGGGGGTTTCTGGACATACCAACATCTGGGGTTTAGAGACACCAGCCATAGTCTCGAATCTCAAAGACTGAGTATTAACTATCTGCACACCTCACACTTTGCCAGCGGTTCACATTTTAGCAAACAGTAGCAAAACCCACTATTTTATTGAAGTCATATTTTGTCACCTGTAATCACCCTCCCTCAGGTAGTTAACTACTTGATACCTTGTAGGCCTTTCCTGTGGTAGCTTAGTGTCAGTATCAGAGAACAGCGACCTCTGGGACATTGTCTTAGGACTTGGGGCCCTACCTGGCATTTGTAGATGGGTGGTTAGCATTCTGCGAAGGGCATGGAAGATTCTGAGGGCCATGAACAGTTCCGATGACAGTTGTTCTCTACCTCAGGAAGGTACTCCGAGATGCTCTGAGGAGACTGCTTGGTTTGTTTGGAGAAACACTGAAGGCAGCCGTCACCCTAAAGAGCCGAATCAGTGAGCGTGCGGGGCTCCTCCTGGACCATGTGGATGCTACAGATACAAGTGATGCCCAGTTAGCAGGTACGTGCCCAAGATGGATTGCCTGTTAGGGCCATGTGCACTGGGAAGCGGTCCTAGAATGTCCTCAGGAGCTGTGTTCGCTGTCAGTTCCCATACACTGGGAAGGCAAAGGTCAGGCTTAGGGGAGGTTATCTAGTTCTTGTGGTCGGTTGATGTTTTGCTAAGGAGGTGGGCCATCCATCATCCCACCCCTCCAGATTCTTCAACTGGATGGTGAGCTTGCTGAGTGAAGATGTGGGTATCTGTTTGTCTTGCAGCCGCAGCCCTTGGCGATATGTGGTCTGATGAGGGTCTACTTGAGATAGACAGAACTTTGCCTGAAGGGGCAGAGACATCTTCAGTGTCTGAAATTAGCAGTCATGTATGTGAAAGCTTTTTTATGAGCCCCGAAAACACACTGGAATGTGAGCAGCCGATTAGGAAAGTCTACCAGAGCCTCAGCACGGCCGTGGATGGCCTCCTGGAGATGGCCCTGGACTCCTCCAAACAGGTGAGGCCCAAGCCTATAACAGGCCAGTGGAGAGGCCGGTAGACAGGGGGTGATGCACTGACAGAGCTGGACCAGTGGTTCTGTTACCACTGCAATGCCGTGCTGCTGAGTCTCATTCTAACCTGCGGGCTCCAAAGAGCATCTTCGTTGTCCAAGTAGATCTGAACCCACGGGTGCTCCCAGACCCCTTCTCCCACTAGGTGTTTAGAGGCAGAAACCCCTGACCTTTTCTGGGTGCTGTTTGCTTTCCCTTGTTGATTTTAATCCTTGTTAATACTGATAGTGCTCTCATCTATGCTGCTCTATAGTGTTTTTCTGAACCAGAGTTCTCAAGGAAGTATCCATGAGAATGACAGCTAGAGCCTTTGTTTACATAATTGAGTTAAGCCACAGATCTCTCCTTGGGGATGTGGTTCAGTTGGTAAAAACTCCGTTTGATCCTCAGCACTGTGTAAACTGGGCATGGTGGCGCATGCCTGTAATCCTAGCACCTGGGAGGTGGAAGCTAGGATTAGGAGTTCAGAGTCACCATCTGTTTAATAGTGAGTGTGAGGCCAACCTAGGCTCTATGAGATCCTGTCTCAAAAGCAACACAGGGCCAGGTGGGGCAGCACATACTTTTAATCCCAGCACTTGGGAGGCAGTCTGGTCTAATAGCAAGTTCCAGGCCAATTGGGGCTGTAGTGAGACCCTGTCTTTAAAACAAAACAAAAAACTGCAACCTGCAAATCCACTTTTTTCACTTTACTGAATACTAATGTTTTATATTTGGAGATTAGCATTTAGATATGGACCTTTTTGTTAATTTCTTAGAACTTTTTAGGTAATTGGAAAAGATATTAGAAATTATGAGCCAGGTAGTGGAGCACGCCTTTAATCCCAGCACTCAGGAGGCAGAGGCAGGTGGATCTCTGTGAGTTCAAGGCCAGCCTGGTCTATAGAGTAAGGTTCAGGACAGTCAGAGCTGTTACACAGAGAAACCCTATCTTGAAAAAAAAAAAAAACCAAAAAACAACAAAAAAAATGAAGGTAGGGAAAGCAATAAATGAGATTATTTTTCTGAAGTTAGCAGTTAACAAAAAGAAGTGTTGCTATGTGAAACATTGCCATAGAGAGACTGTCCCTGTTAGCTATTGGAAACTAGGGTTTCTGGTTCTTGCTTCTTCCTTACTCACCAAATCTTTTTTTTTTTGGGGGGGGGGGGCGCTCCATATAGGGTTTCTCTGTGGCTTTGGAGGCTGTTCTGGAACTAGCTGTTGTAAACCAGGCTGGTCTCGAACTCACAGTTCTGCCTGCCTCTGCCTCTGCCTCCTGAGTGCTGGGATTAAAGGTGTGTGCCACCACCACTGGGCTCACCCACCAAATCTTTTTTTTTTTTTTTTACGCATTTTTTTTTAATTTAAATTAGAAACAAGTTGCTTTTACATGTCAATCCCAGTTCCCTCTCCCTCCCTTCCTCCCCTGCCCCCCACCGACCCCTTATCCCAACCCTTTTCTGCTCCCCAGGGAGGGCGAGGCCTTCCTTGGGGGATCTTCAAAGTCTATCATTTGGAACAGAGCCTAGATCCTCCCCAGTGTGTCTAGGCTGTGAGAGTATCCCTCTATGAGGAGAGGGCTCCCAAAGTTCATTTGTGTACTAGGGGCGAATACTGATCCACTACCAGTGACCCCATAAATTGTACAGACCTCCAAACTGACTTCCTCCTTCAGGGGGTCTGGAACAGTCCTATGTTGGTTTCCCAGCTATCAGTCTGGGGTCCATGAGCTCCCCCTTGTTCATGTCAGCTTTTTCTGTGGATTTCTCCAGCCTGGTCTTGACCCCTTTTCTCATCACTCCTTTCTCTCTGAAACTGGATTCCAGGAGTTCAGCTCAGTGCTTAGCTGTGTGTGTCTGCTTCTGTTTCCATCAGCTACTGGGTGAAGGCACTAGGATGACATATAAGTTAGTCATCAATCTCATTATCGGGGGAGGGCTTAGATTGTTAGTTGGGGTTGACCATGTAGATATCTGGACATTTCCCTAGTGCCAGAATTCTCTTTAAACCTATAATGGCTCCCTCTATGATGGTGTCCCTTTTCTTGCTCTCCTCCATTCCTCCCCTGACTAGATCTTCCTGCTCCCTCCTGTCCTCCTCTCCCCTCCTCTTCTCTTTCTTCTAACTCCCTCTCCCCTCCCCCCAGGATCCCCATTAGGAGATCTTGTCCCTTTCCCCTTCTGGGGGGGGGGGATCATGTGTGTCCTTCTTAGGGTTCTCATTCTATTCTAGCTTGTCTGGCAGTGTGGATTGTAGGCTGCTACTTCTTTGCTCTAGATCTAAAATCCATATATGAGTGAGTACATACCAAGTTTGTCTTTTTGCGACTGGGTTACCTCACTCAGGATGGTTTCTTCTAGTTCCATCCATTTGCCTCCAGTTCCCCCCCCCTCACTGAGTAGTACTCCATTGTGTAAATGTACCATGTTTTCTCTATCCATTCCTCAGTTGAAGGGTATCTAGGCTGCTTCCAGTTTCTGGCTATTACAAATAGTGCTGCTATGAACACGGTTGAGCAGATGTCCTTGGTGTATGAATGTGCTTCTTTTGGGTATATGTCTAAGAGTGGAATTGCTGGATCTCGTGGTAGATTGATTCCCATTTTGCTGAGGAACCGCCAATCCACCAAATCTTAAACCCAGTTCTGTAGTGGGACCTACTGTCCTCCCTCAAGAACCAACATGTCTGGGATCTCACTTTTGATCAGGTGCTTTGACTGGCCTCCCTGTGCGTCTGTAAGGAAACCACCCATCCTGAGGGTCTAATGGTCCACAGGACCAGACTTTGCAGTGGGGTATCCTAGCAGGCACCACAGGGTGGCTGAGGACCCACTGTTTTGTGAATTCAAGGAGAGCCAGGGTTACACAGAGAGACTGTGTCTCGAAAAAACAAACAAAAAAGTCTTGTCTTGTGGAGGATGTGACTTTGGGGAAGGATTTGGGAGACGTTAGAGGCTCAGTCACGGAGCCCTGTGGGAGGTGCAGGAGCTCTCTGAAGCTGATGCAAGGTCAGTAGCAGAAGGCTGTGGTAGGATTGAGAGTCAGACAGGCCTCTCTGCAGAACCACATTTGACCTTGGCTGCAGGAAGGGGCAGAAGCAGGAGGAAGTGACCTGTTGGAGGATGGGAGTTCAGATACATTATAAGTGGCCTCTGGACCATTTTCAAGGAAGAAGCAAAAGACCTTAGAGGCCAGTGAACATCTTGAGCCCCAAGAAAGGCCAGAGTTGTGCTGTTAGTGAGGGGCTAAAGGAGGCCCGGGCCTGGACGCTCTGTTGTCTGCTGAGGGCAGTGGGGTGTAGGTGTTTTGTGTTTAGAGGCGCATGTAGTCCTGTAGCTGACCTTGGAAGTTCTAGATGAGACACAATGCTGGAAGGAGGGGTGGCAAAGACAGCCATCAAGGGGCCGTTAGTCAGGTAGAGACTGCTCTGCTGCCATGGTGCTGTCACCTCAGCGCTAGCTCTGTTAGTGATGACCCTGGGGTCGTGGTGTGCTAGAATTCTACTGGTATTAACTTAAGTTCCCCACCCACCCACTCTGTTCCTCTCTCCTTCCCTTCCTCCTCCCCTTCATACCCTCTGTATTTTTTATATGTAGTTGTGATTTTCAAACATTTCTCAACAGCTGGAGGAAGCACACCAGCTCCATTGTTGTGTTGAGAAAGAGCTCCGTCACAGGAATGAGGAGATGGCACAGGCTGTGCAGAAGCAGCAGGAGCTGCTGGAACACCTGAGGCAGGAGAGTGCAGCCAAGGATGGGCTGACACTGGAGTTGCACATGGCAGAGGGTAAGTGACCAAACTGTGTGACCAGAAAGAGGCATCCCGTTTCAAACATGCAGGCGGCAGGGAAGCAAACTGTCTAAACACACCTTGTTAGGGCCAGGGACCAGCTTTGTCCCTCACCCTGAGTGGGAGTTTTATTTGGTAAGTATCACTGGCTCTGGGAAGCCATGTTGGAGATAGATCTGCTTGTGGGCTATCGAGGGCCCCGGAATGCCTGCTGTCACTTGGCACTGGGCTTTCCTATTCTGTGGATTGGTGTATGTCAGCTGTCAGATGGTGCTCTTGCTCCGCCCATGACCTTCCTGTCACAGAGCATTTGGTGTCTCTGCACAGATGAATGGGCTCTCTGGTGTACAGTTCTTTTTCAAGGCTCTGGCCTTGCTTGAAGAAGGAGCCCCTTCACTGAGGCCTCCACCAGGAGTGACCCACCCTGACCTTCTGGTACTCAGGCCACAACATTTTGTAAAGGGTCCCCCAGAAGTCTCTCATTCTTCCCCATGGGTTGGCGTGTCTCTGCACTTGCCCTGTTTTTAGGTCTCCTGGAAGGACTCAGGGTGGAGAAAGCAGAGCTGCAGGAGGCCCTGGACAAAAAGGAGGAGTCGGAACAGCAGCTGATTCTAGAGCTAGAGAGCCTGCAGAAGCAGCTGCAGCAAGTGGCCCAGGAGCTGGTCACTCTGAGGGAAGAAAATTCTGTCTTGTGGAACCAGAAGGAAACTTTCACTAATGAAGCAAAAGAACGAGAAGCGGGTAAGAGATGGTGACGGTGGAAGGCTGAATAGAGTGGGGTGTGGCAGCTGATGGAAGCTTGCATGTAAACTTGGTCTTTCAAGGGGTGGAAATACAAAAAGCCAAGGGGTGTGTCTGTGTGGGAGATTTTATGGGACATGCAGACCACAGGAAGGAGAGCTGGATAAGATGCAGCATCCAGGTGCTCTGCGGTGGTCCAGAGGGAGATGGTCTTTTTTTTTTTTTTTTTTTTTTTTGGTTTTTTGAGACAGGGTTTTCCTTTAGTTTTGGGGGCTGAACTGGAACTAGCTCTTGTAGCCCAGGTTGGTCTCGAACTCACAGAGATCCCCCTGCCTCTACCTCCCGAGTGCTGGGATTAATGGCATGCGTCACCACCGCCCGGCTAGAGGAAGATAGTCTTAAAGGCTGACTTGCTTATGAGCTGTGCCTCTGGAGAAGGAATACCCTCAGGGCAGCAGGTTAACATATCAAGCTCTGGAAAATGAAGTGTCCTAAAATGGTACTGAAGATAAGTGTCTGGTATTGGTCCTGTGTGCTTGGAGCCACTGTAGCGGAGTTGCCGAGATAAACAACTTCAGGGAGGAGAGGTTTCTTTTGGCTCATGGTCTTGGAAGTTTCAGACATGACTGCTTGGCCCACTTGGTTTTAGGCCTGCGGAGGGGCCTATGTCATGATGGAAACGTGTAACAGAGGAAAGCTATTCATCTCACTGCAGTCAGGGAGAAAAAGAGCTCTCTTCTCTCTCTCTTTCTTTTTCTTTTGGTTTGGTTTTTTGATACAGGGTTTCTCTGTGTAGCTTTGGAGCCTGTCCTGGAACTCGGTACTGTCCTCAAACTCATAGAGATCCACCTGCCTCTGCCTCCCAAGTGCTGGGATTAACGGCATGCTCCGCCACTGCCTAGTGGAGAGCTCCCTCATTTTTATAACAAAGCTCTCACCCCCAAACTGTTAAGCTGTGACTCTACCAAAGGATTCATTCCCTGGTGAGTTCAGAAGCTCATGATACAGCCCCTTCCCAGAAGCCCCGACTCAGAACACAACTGTAATTTGGGTCCATGGTTTTCAACATAGGAGCTTTTGAAGAATCATCCCAAGATTCAAACTATAACAGACTTTCAAAATCAGGGCTTCACTTTCTGGAGGCTCAGGGTCTTACTGTGTTGTCTAGGCTAGTCCTTTAGCCAGTCTCCTCCTGTCTTATAGTGTCCTGAGTGCTGGGATTATAGCATGTCACCATGTCCAGCCAACTCTTACATATTTTAGCTGTAAATGTTTAAAATGAAGCTGCTTGAAACGAGAAGCATACACAGAAACACTTCTGCTTCTGTGTTTGCCTTGCCCTCTACGTTTTCTTTTCCTGTATGTTTTTTTCTCCATGCCTTTACTTTCATTTTCCTTCTGTGGGACATAGCTGGGCAAGCATGACCCTTGGTCCCATTCTCCTTGACACTTGAGGCCATAAGCATCACCGTGTCCTGCTTCACAGGTTTTCAGTAACCCCTCTGGTGCTTCCCTCTGTCCTCATCGTGTGTGTAAGATGAGTTCTCTACTCCCAGCCCATTCTGTTGAATGTCTTACTTTCTGTTAGGGCCCCTTTCTATTCCGGAACAATTTTCAAGGCTGGCTCTTGTGAATGCTCTGTGTCTGAATCCTGTCCCTGGACACCTTGTATTTTTTAACATGATCTAGCAGATAAGGAATGTCAGAGCTGGTGACTTTTTTGCAGCCTACTGATGTAGCCCATGTGCCATTCTGGGCTTCTTTAGGGATGTCACTGCCCTTGCCCTACTTTTTTTTGTCTCCAGCAATCACCACAATGTGGCCTGGTGTTACAGGCAGCACTGTGGCTGGGTCTTGCCTGTGGGTTCCAGGCAGAGACCCAGGATGAGGTTGGGCCAGTACAAAAGCATGACTTTGGCCTTCTGGCTTCAGGGAATCACTTCCCTGTTGGGCTTTCCCACTGCCAGCCCTTGTAACTTCTCTGTGGTCTTCTCAGCTAGAATCCACTTGGAATTGTTTACACAGCCTTAGTCTTCACTCCTGTCTCTTTACCCTTGCACCCTGGGGCTGCTCTGAATTGTTCATGTCCAATCAGCCTCCCTTACCCTGAGCCAACACTGCGTCCGTGGCTTTCTTGGCCATAGGTTTCCTGGGTGACCTCAAGCCACTTGGGAAGTTATGGAATGACTTCCCAGAAACCTTGAGAATTCCATTCCGTCTCACTTTTCTTGGGTATTTCTTCATTTCCTTAGGTGTATGCTGTGGCTTCTGTTGGGGTAGTGTCGTCTGTATTGTCTGTTATCCTTTAAAATGAACTCCTGAACCCCCGGGGTACTGGGCTCTATGTCCACTTGAGGGCACCAGCGATGTCACAGGTGTGCAGGGCCTCGATGCTGCCGGGCATGCTGCTGGCTTTTGCTTGATCTGGGTTCTTGATCATCTGGGTCCTTGGTCCGGGCTCATTCCTTCCCTGTGATGGTTTGTTTCCTGTTGTAGGTGCTCCCATCTCTGCAACACACAAGGACACAGGTTTGTAAAGAGTGTGAGCGCTGCATGATGTACTGTATGTTTGCATCAGATTTTTCCAATTACTTACTAAGAGGAAAAATGCTTCAGAGATTTTGTGGCAAATTATTGAATGGTATTCTGGTCTTTTATAACCTTTTATAACCATTCATTTAAAAATGGCAGCTTTGTCCCATTTTAATGTTCCAGTGATATTCACTCTTTTTTCTCTAATGCTTTCTGCAATTTTAAGTCTGTTTTGCAAGAATTGATGCTGTGTGACCGTTATGTTTGTTGGGTCAGGTCCCTTTATGCCTTGTTTGACTTCCCATCAGGCCCTCATCTCCACAGCCCCTATAAGCAAGCCATGCTCCCCTTCTCTCCCTCCCTTTAAAGTGAAATGGAAGGTGGTGTCATCAGACCTTAAAGGGGCCTGTGTTTCTTCACGATGGGTCAGTGCCAACTGGCCAATCTTAGATCTCCTTCCTTAATTAAAGTTTGTAAATGACGTTGCTATAACTGCATGTTTAAAGACAGTTTACTGTAACTGCTGGCTTCCTAGCATGGAGGTTTATTGAGAATGTCACATTCATGGGACTGGTTTGTCAGAACAGTTTTGAGTCAGAACAGTTTATGAATCATGAGATTCATAAATTCTTTTCTGCCTTTTGATAATCACTCAGGATTTGTCACTAGGTCTGTGGGTGGTTTTCCAGAGCCACCTACACACACTAAGCTGTCAGTAGGTTAGAGGCTTTACCTCATGCTGAATTCATGTTGGAGAACGAACATACGGACAAAATTTTCAGAATATTGTGACATGTCACTGATTTATCAAGATACACACACTTTTTTTTTTTTTTGGTTTTTCGAGATAGGGTTTCTCTGTGTAGCTTTGGAGCCTATCCTGGCACTCGCTCTGGAGACCAGGATGGCCTATGACTCACAGAGATCCGCCTGCCTCTGCTTCCCGAGTGCTGGAATTAAAGGCGTGCGCCATCACCCCTGACTTCAGGACACACAGCATGTTAGGCTTCTAAATTTTAGCCAGTTTTCTCTTGGAAGGTGTGCTTTTTGTTTTCAGAAGTAATTGGTATTTTCAGGGAACATCTTACATAGCTGTGGGTATGTGAGGGCGTGGACTTAAAGTCTGACAGGAGGACAGGCTGGCTCAGCTCCTTTGTCACACTCTGAGGAGGGGAGGGAGGGTTTTGCCAAGGGGTGAGTCCTGGCTTTTTGCATGGGGGTCATGCTCACATCTCGAGCTTAGGGTGGCTGGATGTGGTGACAGCTTTTTCCTAAGCTGCCTCTGCCATTCCAGTTCCTTTGAAGGTCTGACACGCATGGCCACCATTCGTGTTTCCTGAGCCCTGCTCGGTGCAGTCCATGCTCTGAGGTAGGACTCTGTGTCTGTTTTCTTGGCATCCTCAGCGCTGCAGAAGGAAGTGGAATCTCTGTCCAGAGACCAGTGGGAGGCCAGGAAGCAGTCTGAGAAGGACCGCGCCACCCTGCTCTCTCAGATGCGAGTCTTGGAGTCTGAGTTGGAAGACCAGCTTGTGCAGCACCGGGGCTGTGCCCAGCTGACTGAGGAAGTGGCCACCCTGAAGCAGGAGCTGGCTGCCCTAGACAAGCATTTACGTAGCCAGCGTCAGTTCATGGATGTAAGAAGTTTTTTTGTTTTGTTTTGTTTTTAGTATCACTAAACCATACTACAGCACGGATAGCTTCTATGCCGTCACGTTAAATTCATGTGAATGGCATTGTTGCCTTGACTGTGGTGGGTACTTGTATCTTGGCCTGCCTTTTGTGAAGATGATTCTGAGTGAATATTCTGGCATCTTCTTGACCCATATTTCTTCCTGTGGTCTTGGGAGTAATTTCTGGCAGTCTAGCATCCTAGGAGGTGTCTATAGTATGTTTCTCAGAGAGCAAAGCTGTCTGTGCTTAACTGTGGCTTTCTGCCCAACATTTTCAAATGCTGTGACTCTATCAGAGATCTCCTATGCGATTTATCATTAGATGACTTCTCTTAACTCCATTTTGAAAAATTGACCATCGCGAAGGGGATGTTACGGGGTCATCGGACACTTTTGAAGTGTGGTCAGAGCCTCATTCTTTGTCTTTGTCACGTTTCCCCAAAGTACAGTCCTCACATGTGGCTTCTTGTTCCAGGAGCAGGCTGCTGAGCGTGAGCACGAGCGAGAAGAGTTCCAACAGGAGATCCAAAGGCTGGAGGAGCAGCTCCGCCAGGCAGCCCGGCCACGGCCTCCTGGGCCCCGTGATAGCCAGGTAGGTCAGCCTGTGGTTTCCGGTGTCTGGGTGACCAATCATTGTAACATTTTAAAGCCTTGTTTTCCTTTGCATTTGCCTTCTGTGGATGTGGAAACAACAGTGTGCACAGCTAGATGAGGAGGTAGGATGACGGCATCTCCTTTGCTTTGGTCCCTTCTGTCAGCTGATGGCTTTCAGCTTCCTAGCACAGCTTTGCCACACCCTGCATAGTGGTTTAGGGCTGTATGCACCACCCTGTTGCTTACTCTCTGTGTTTTTGCTTCGGGCTGTGGAGGTCTGCAACCCCTTGACTGAGGTAGCTGTAGCTGATTTGCTTATGCTCTTTTAAAAAGAAAACTTATTTTAAGGAAAGAATGGGTCCCCATGAAGTTGTGAGGAGTAAGACCCAGATCTCTGTTGAACTACAGTCCTGCTTCCCAGCCTTGCATTGAAGGGATGCAGTGAGACCATGCAGTCTTGAGTACCACGTTGCTCCTGGTACTCCTGATACCCTCCCACGGTGTTATATGTTAACTGTGAAACAAGAGCTGCAGCACTTGGTCCAGAAAAGAGGCTGACGTATAGTACTCAGTTCCTTTTAGGAATGAGGGTTATTAGATTGAGCAGGCTTCAGAGCCTGCCTTTGGGTCTCCAAGTGGGATAGAGGGCATTAGACAGAATAATGTGGAAACTGAGCATGGTGGCACCTCAAACTGGAGGAGAAGCTTTCCGCATGGAGAGGACCTTCAGTAAGCGTGAGCATAAGGGGCTGGAAAAATGGCTCAGCATTCAAGAGCACTGGCTGCTTCTCCAGGGGACACAGGTTCTATTCCCTGCCTCCCTCCCTCCCTCCCTCCCCTCCCTCCCCTCCTCCCCCCCCCCCCCCCCCTCTCTCCCTCTCTCTCTCTCTCTCTCTCTCTCTCTCTCTCTCTCTCTCTCTCTCTCTTTCCTTTCTATTTTTTTTACAACTTTTTCTTTTTTATTGATTTATACTTTTAATTGCATTGGTGTTTTGCCTGCATGTGTGTTGTCTATGTGAGGGCATTGGATCCCCTGGAGCTGGAGTTACAGACAGTTGTGAGCTGCCATGTGGTTGCTGGGAATTGAGCCTGGGTTCTCTGGAAGAGCAGTCAGTGCTCTTAACTGCTGAGCCAGCTCTCCAGCCCCTGCTGTATTCCATTCTTTTCTGTCAAATAAGTTTTGTTTTACTGATGCATTTGGGGTTATATTCTGTTCAATGTGTCTGTCTCCTTTTTTTTTGTCCTCCTTAAACAAACTGTACTGATCTGCCTGTAGGTTGCACAGCATACTGAGATTTGGAACTTTAGTTGGTTTATTATATATTGTTTTATTTGAAAGTTTTTTTTTTTGAACTGTCTGTTATGTTCCTTCTACATTTGCTTTTGTGTTTAGGTGGAATTATTACAAGAAAAATTGAGAGAGAAATTAGATGGATTTAATGAATTGGTCATAAAGAAAGATTTTGCAGATCAACAATTGTTAATCCAAGAAAAAGAAATTAAACGTCTTGAAGAGACAAATGTCAGCCTACAAAGACAAGTGGCCCAGCTCCAGGAAGAACTGGAAAAACAGAAAAAAAACATGGAAGAATTAAAAGTAAAGTTCTGGGCATCCTAGTTGGGGCAAAGCACTAAGCTGGGGGTGGTGGACTCCGGATGATGGGTCGTGCTGCTGTGTGGGTCAGGTCACGGGGATAGAAGTGTAGAGTCTATTGGGCAAGTGGCGTGAGACAAGATGGGACTTGTATTTTGGGGACCCTGTAGTAGGTCTGGACAAATGCCCCTGGTGGCTTCAGGGCCTTAGGCAAACTTTGTCAAGACATCTGTCTCATTGTCTAGAATCAGTTGTGGCAATATCTTGCTTGTACAAGTAAAGCCTGTGTGAAGGTCAGAGAATGGAGTTTGCCACTAGCTAACCTTAGAGGTCTGGAGGTGAGGAAGTCTGGACAGGAAGTGAGATAGCTGGGCAGAAACCGGATCTGAGAAAGATTCTTTTTGTATAAGCACGATATCACCACAGACAGTTGTGTCTTTTTTTAAACTTCTAGTTTAGGACTTTCATTTAGGGGTTTTCTTTTTCTTTCTTTCTTTTTTTTTTTTTTTTGTCATCAGAGGCTAAAAATTTTCTTGAAAAGTGGGTCCCAAGAGAAATACTATTCAGCAGTCAGTAGCTTGAGTGAGACCCAAGTGCTGCTTGAAGTTCTTACTAGGTTGTCTGTTTTTCAAAAAGCGCTCGCGGGAACTTAAACTCCCCGGGACACTGGTACCTGCCTGTCACCACTCCTTGTTTTCTTGGTTCTTCTGTTTAACCTGTGCCTAAAGGATCCCTGCCCTGCTCCTCTCTCTTCCTGCAGCTCGCTTCAGGGCTCTTGCTACCTTATTCTTTGACTTGACATTCACCGAGCTTATTAGATTTTAAAGGATAGAAAATTCTCATTGTTCTCACTTACTTGGCATTGTATACCAGAGTCTTTATTCTCTAATATTTTGTGAGGCATTTACACCACAGTAAATGGTCTCTCGCACCTTTCTTTTCTTAAAAAAAAAAATTATTGCAGTGTTTTATGTGTGTGGGTGCTTTGCCTGCATGTATGTCTGTGTACTACATGCATGTGCTACACGCAAGGGCCAGAAGAGACCCAACGCTTGGATCCCCCGCAACCGGAATTATAGACAATTGTGAGCTGCCATTTGGATGGTGGGAATTGAACCTGCTGAGCCATCGCTTAACTCCTTGGAAACTTTTTCATGCGTTGATGGTCAGCATTTGGATCTATTGTCCAACATGTCCTATTTTTGCCACTTCCCTTGTATTTTTCAAATTGGTACTAGCCTAGTGGATACTTAGCACTCTGTTTGGTAATTACGAGGAACCTGTGGCAGTAGAGTCAGAGGCACGCTCCTCTGGCTTTCCTCACCAGGTAGAGTTGACTAGCTCGAGCGCAGGCAGGTTCTGTTCAGCATATGCAGTTCTAGCTGGAACTAGCTGGACATCCATTGAGTGCAGCTATGTGCGGACAGGCCCACTTCTACAGGATTCCATGTTATGGACTGGATCTTTATGACAACTGATTCCTTAATGGTTTGCCTAAAATAAATGTCCATTTCCCCCCTGAAATGGGATAAAGAAGTACTAAAGCAAGAGCTCACGAGTGACTTACTGCTGCCACCTGTGTCACAGTGTAGGCTGGATGAAGCCGAGTGCCCTAAGCCTTCTCAGGACAGCTCTTCTAGGGGTCCAGAAACTCAACCAGAGGTAACAGAGAGCACACACCTAGAGCCTGAGAGTGAGGTAAGTAGCAGGAACTGTTTGGAACCTGCCCAGCTCACAGCCCTGAGCACCTCTGCATAAAGGTTGACCATCCAAAACCGGGTAGCAGCATTGTGACCCAAGTATATACTTTGTAACTCTATGAAATTTATATCATGATAGGGTAATAGTCCCTGCCCTTTGAGATCTTCCAAAGCTTCATTAATGATTATTAAATCAGTTACAATATTAGATAATTTTCAGCACTTTTTCACTTAGATGAAGGGTTTGGACTTGGTTTTTAGAGGCAGGGTTTCTTTGTGTAGCTTTGGAGGCTGTCTTGGAACTAGCTGTTGTAGACCAGGCTGGTCTCTAACTCAGAGAGATCTGCCTGCCTCTGCCTCCCGAGTGCTGGCATTAAAGGCGTGCGCCACCAACGCCCAGCAGGTTTGGACTTTAAAGAACAGCTAGAAAAGATCAAAGATGACTTAGTAGCTGGGTGTGGTGGCGAATGCCTTAAATCCCAGCATCCAGGAGGCAGACAGATCTCTTGAGTTTAAGGCCACCCTGGTCTACCAAGCAAGTACCAGGCTAAAGGATAAAGCATCATTTGGGCTTTGTAGGCTCACATGCTTTCAATTGACGAATAATAAAAAAAAAAACAAGCCAACAACCATTATGTTGTCTTCCTCATTTACATCAGAGAAAAGCCATGTTTGCTACAAAAGCAAAAGCTCTGCTCCCTGGCAGAAACCACATGGGAAAGCAAGCATGACTTTAGCAGTGGTGAGAGCGGTGGTACATGCTATTTAGATACATTCTAATTCCAGGGACACTGGTATTGCAGTGAACTGGAATAGATGCAATGGTGGGGGTTTGTGTCGCTGTAAAGGGGCAGGGGTGGGTAGTGTTTATACAACTGCGGATGAATATTACAGAATCACTGGTAGACAGTGTTTGTGCCACCCGACTGGGCAGTGTAGAGAACCGGGTGGCTAGTACTTGTGCCTATGTGAATGATACTGTAAAGACACTGCTAAGTGGGTTTGTGCTCAGGCCTCACAAAGATGTGGAGCACAAGTCAGTTGGTTCACTAGTGCCTATAACTTCAGCTCCAGTGAATCTGACAGCTCCTTCTGCTGGCACTCACTCACACGTGGTGTACACACACACACACACACACACACACACACACACACACACACACATACACACATGAATGAATAACTTTTCCTATTTTCTCCTGAAAGTGTTTAATATGATGTGATTTCTTCTTCGTTGTCTTAATATTAAAGGCAATTGAAGTTCATTTAATTTGTGCAGTTTTGATTTTCTTTTTTTTTTTTTAATCCCTGGCTGGCCTTGAACTCTGGCTAATAAATGCTGGGATTAGAGATACATACCGTACTTGGCTAATTTGGGGGAGATTTTTGATAATTTCTTTAATGGAAATACAGGTTGGATTTCTGTTTTATCTTGTGATAGTTTTGATACGTGTATTTTTTAAAAGAAGATATGCATTATATTGAAGTTGTCAGACTTCTTGTCATAAACGACCTATATTATTTGATTAGTAACTCTATCAGCTGATCTTTATTTATTATTACCTATCTGTAGATGTGCATTAATAGCCCTTGTTTCAGTCTCAGGTATAAAAAGAAAGAATTGTAATCTTCCCTTACTTTTGGGCTTTCTGCATAGGAAGTTTATCAGCTCCTGAGTTCTTCTGCGTTAGGAGTGTACCACTCAGGCATAGAAGAGACTCCCAGCTTGCACATAGATTCCCATAGTTCCAACATGTTTATGGCAGTAGGTTAGTTCAGGGTTGTCACCAGGTTTCCGCATGTAAGAGAGTTTCAGAAATGGTGTCTATTTCTTTGAGTTGATATAGTCATGTCATTTTTTCTTTAGCCAGTTTATATAGCGGACCAAACAGTGACATTTTCCAGCCTGGAGTCAGGCTCACACCCTAGGAGTACACTCACCTGTCCTGGTGCATGCCTGTGTGTGTGGGTGTTTTGTGAAGTCATCCATCTGTCTCCGCCAGGGATAGTATCCTTCTTTTGACCTCTTTGATTGCAGTTTTCCCTCCTTTTCAGTTTTCTGGAAGATGTAGTCCACAATTGGTGGTATTAATCCTTAAATGTCAAGCAGAATTTTTTTGCTTGTTTTATGTTTTGTTTTGTTGTTGTTTGTTTTTGAGACAGGTTCTTTCTATGTAATCCTGGCTATCCTGGAGCTCACTATTTAGATCAGGCTGGCCTTGAACTCACAGAGCTTTGCTCACCTCTGCCTAGGATTAAAGATGTGCACCACCATGCCCAGCTGTGAAGAAGGATTGTTCAGTGAGCTGCCTTTCTTTCCAATTCCTTGCTAGTTACAGAGCAAACAAAATCAATTTGCTATTGAGAAATTTAGAGCCATTCTTCTTTGAGGGTTTGGTGGGTTTTTTGGTCTGCCCTATCTTCTCTTTGCCTAGTGTTCTAATTACAAGTGGACTGTATTTTTTGTGGATAATTTAAGTCATGTATATGGTTTTAATTTTTTATTTTTGGACATGCTCAGAATCATCCTTGAAGATACTTTCACTTTTGCTGGTCTATGGTCTATGCCTGTACCCAGCACACAGAAAAGGCGAGCAGAATAGAGCTTTATGTGAAGGTGTCTGGTTGCTTTTCCATTGCTATGATAAGACACCATGACCAAACAACTTACAAAAGAAAGCATTTTTTGGGTACTTACAGTGTCAGAGGGTTGGAGCCCATGACCATTTAGGCAGGGAGCACGTCGGCAGGCGGGTGGGTGGGTGCTAGCGCAGTAGCGGAGAGTTTTCATTTTTATTCACGAGCAGGGCACAGAGAGAACCAACTGGGAATGGCGTAGACTTTTGAAACCTCAAAGCCTGCCCCCAGTGCCATACTTTCTCCAACAAGGTCACACCTGTTCCTTCCCAAGCAATTCTACTAACTGGAGACCAGGCATTCTCATCCAGACCACCACAGAAGGTTTTGTCTTTGACATAGGATTTGCCTTCTGCTAACTGTGTAGTATGACATTCATGTGCATTTTGTATGTGGTGTATAACTGATACCATCCAAACCAATTCCAAAATCAGTAGGCTGGGGGGGGGGGCAGGAGTGATAGGGGAAGCTATTTGTTGGTTGGTTGTTTTTGATTTTTCTTTTTGTTTTTTTGTTTTATTATTTTAGATCTCACTATGTCAACCATGCCGGCCTCTGTCTCTCAAGTCCTAGAATTAGAGACATGCACCTACTACTCTCCCACTGGATTTTCTGTTTTCATTTGTATTATAGGCCTGGTTTATATTTGTCTCAACTATGAAGTGTAGAGCCTGAGAGACCATGTGTTGTTATTGGACCCTTGACATTTTGGAAGCAAAATATGAGAGGCATTGTTTGGAAATTGTTAGAATGCAAATAGGTTAGCATTTTTTCTAGTTTTGGCCATTACATTTGATGCTATCTTCAGACAACGGAGTTGAACCATATTGCCTTGTGTACCAATCCCAAGTTTCCACTTACTGTTTTTGTGGGTTTAAGAAGCTGTTTCATAAGCCGGGCATTGGTGACGCACGCCTTTAATCCCAGCACTTGGGAGGCGGAGGCAGGCGGATCTCTGTGAGTTCGAGGCCAGCCTGGGATACAGAGCAAGTGCCAGGATAGGCTCCAAAGCTAAGAAACCCTGTCTTGAAAAGAAGAAGAAGAAGAAGAAGAAGAAGAAGAAGAAGAAGAAGAAGAAGAAGAAGAAGAAGAAGAAGCTGTTTCATATCTGAGTTACTGTGGACTTGGTTAAACAGCATAAAGAGAGTGCTCTCTTTCATGCCTAGTGAAGTAGGTTCATGTCATAGAAGCCATGTATTAGAGCCAGCTGCCATGTGCGTGCAGTGTTCACTCAAGGGTGGTTGGAGAGATAGCAGGTGTGGTTCATTTGGTTCATCAGTACAAAGCCTCTGGCCTGTGTTCTCATTTCAGTTGTTAGCGGGACACCAAAAGTCTAAATGCTGTTTCAGGAAGATCAAACATGTGAGTTCACGGTTAGCAGAGTAAGGCATCTCATGAGTGGAGGAGGAGGTGGTGTGCCAGTCTCATAAGGAGGCACAGAAGAATAAAAGGCAATAACTATCCTTAGCCGAAGAGAAACTAAAGTTAGAGATTCTGAGTTTATACCAACAGCTTTAGGATAGGGGATGTGTTGAGATTTTTGGGCACCCTTTCTCTGTACCTGAAGAGTGGGTGTTGTGT